TATATATATATATATATATATATATATATATACATATACTGTATATACATATATTTGTTTTTAATTATATAAGTATGTATTAATTAAATTATTTTACATTACTGTTTAAAGGTTTGATACTCTGATTTAATACTTTCATTTTGCTAGGATGCATTAAATTGATCAAAAGTGACAGTAAAGACATAATTTTACTAAAAATTCTATTTCAAATCAATGCTGTTCTTTTGAACATTCTGTTCATTAAAGGATCATGTTTCACACAAAATATTAAGCAGCACAACTGTTTTCAGTTGAAATAATAATGAGAAATGTTTCTTGAGCAGAAAATCAGCCTATTCGAATGATTTCTGAAGGATCGTGTGACACTGAAGACTGGAGTAATGATGCTGAAAATTCAGCTTTGCATCACAGGAATAAATTGCGTTTTAAAATATATTAAAATAGAGAACAGTTTTTTGAAATTGTAGTAATATTTCACAATATTAATGTTTTTACTGAATTTTTAATCAAATAAATGCAGCCTTGGTGAGCGTAAGAGACTTTTTTTCAAAAAGAAATCATATAGACTCTAAACATTTGAATACTAGTGTATATTTTTCATATTTCTGATTCAAAACAGTAGTTATTTATTCATTTATTTATTTATTCTGTTCTGTTTGATGAATAGAAACATTTCAGAAACGTTGCCTATACTTCAACAATAAGCTGTTTAATGTCTGGATCCACTGTGACAACTTACCCCAATTAGTGCAACAACATGATCTGCTATTGGGGCATGTTGTCACAAAAGCTCAAAATGTGTTTAATATACGTACTTGCTGTAAATAGGCATGGAGCCTCCAGCCATGATGTCGGCGTACAGGTCCGGAGGAGGAAGAATCTGGAGGTCCGAGACATCTAAATCATCTTCCTCTTTATTTCTGAAGGAAATATACAATAACAACATGATCTAGTTGGCAGTTAGCACTACGGCTGCACAGGTTGAGGTTGGGAATGAGAAAAACAATCTCAAACATTCATGTAAAACCAGTCTGACCACATACTCCTGCGGGGAAAAGACGTCTCATGAATTATCTGTCTGTGTTATGTGTGAGAACATGCATATTTTTTGTGAGCACTTACAAGCTGTCAGGATCCTCTTCAAGTGGTAACAGATGAAACCAGAAGTGGAAAGAAGAAGAAAGAAAAAAAAAGTGAGTGTGGATAGATGTGACTGTTTATGTAATTCAGGTTTAGAGAGTCAAAACATACCTGGTGTGAGCTCTGGCATTCTTGACGCACAAACAGCCAAATAAGGAAACAGGAAGTAGAGATTAGTTGCTATCCTGTAATCTAATCGTTTACAGTAAGCGATCTTTAGTGAACTCAGGAAGTAGACAATAACTAAAGCGATGGCCTACATTGGGCTGTTGTTTTGTGGTAGAGGCTGAGAGGACGTCTTGGGTTGCATAAAGAATGTGGAGAGTTTTTGAATCGCTTCCTGTTTTCTTCTGCAACACAGTAAACAAATGCTCATTCTTGTGTTCTTAATGTGAAACAGTTTATTACAGAGCAAAGTTAGTACAGAAGTATGACATGCCATTTTAGTGAATAGAATAGAATAGAACGGAACTTACAGCACGTTCATATAAGTTGAATCACTTTGGTCTTGGTGAACAGGATCTGAAAAAGAGAAATGAACGCAGGGACAAAAAAACCATAAGAATCAACAAGTATTTATTATTATTACTATTATCATCAACAATTTTGGAATTTATTTTATAATTATGACTTAGAATCTCATAATTTTGACTTGTGTCATAAGTTTGTCAGAGTTTCTTTAGCTCATAATTTAGAATGTTTGTTATAATTTGGACTTTTATGTCATAATTATGACTTTTCATGTCAATTTTGACTGTGTATGTTATAATTCTGATGTTTTATGTCATAATTATGACTGCTCATGTCATAATTTCAATTTATGTCATAATTATTACTTTTTATGTCATAATTTCGCCTTTTTGTCATAATTATGACTGTTCATGTCATAATTTCAACTTATGTCATAATTATTACTTTTTATGTCATAATTTCAACCTTTTATGTCATAATTGTTTTTGGTCATAATTCTGATTATGTCATGATTTCAACAAAATTTCTACTTTTTATGTCATAATTATGTTTTTGTCAGTTTTTTTGTGTCATAGACTTTTTATCTCATGATTTTAGCTCATGGCATCATTCTGACTGTTAATGTAATAATAATCATTTACCAAAGTGTGACTTTTTTGCTTATGTGGTGGAAATAGGCTTCCCTAAATGTAACTATGAACAAGTGAATGATATACTGTAGCTATAATGACTAATATAGTTAATATAGTCTTGGATGTTCCCAGTTGGTAGTGTTCCTGTGAACATTTTTCCATGATGTCTCATCAGTGACTCACCTTGTGCTGGTGTGGCGTGTGATTGATTCAGCGCTCTGAAAGATTGAACATACACCCCTCGTAAACAATACAACAGTTTAACAGCCAAGCTTTGTAACCGAGTACAAAAGAAGGCGAATGTACACACAAGATAACACTCACATGTGTGCTGTTTCATTAGCAGAGCCAAACACAGGGTCGTCATCATCATCATCACATGTCCACTCATCACTGTCTTCTGAGACTGATAAAATAAATAAATAAATGAGTGCCGTCAAACGATTAATCGCGATTAATCGCATCCAAAATAAGTTTTTGTTTACATAATATATGTGTGTGCACTGTGTATATTTATTATTTATATATAAATGCACACACATACAGTATATATTTTGAACATATTTACATGTATATATTTATATTCATATAGTTTATATTATATATGAATATATTTAAAATATAAACATAACATATTTTTCTTAAATATGTACATGCATGTGTGTGTATTTATGTATACATAATAAATATACACAGTACACACACATGTATTATGTAAACAAAACCTTTTATTTTGGATGCGATTAATCGCAGTTTAATCGTTTGACAGCACTAAAATAAATAAATAAATAAAATAAAAATTACATTTCTATAGCTGCAATATTTTGATTTACTAGAAAACATTGCGGTTTATGTCTTGAGTAGGATTTGTATTCTGTATTATAAAACACAACCATCTAAAAAACCAAATACCGCACAGACATTACCCTCATGAAAATATGCTGTACTGATACCATGGTTCACTTATGGTACTGTATCAGATAAAATACAGTATTTTTACTATGGTATTTACCTGAAATATATACCATGGTACTTCATGATGGTATTCCAAAGTATTTCAATGCTATGATGGTATTCTCATTAAAGTAGTGTTACCATCATAGAATATTTGTAGTATAATGTGGGGTTGGGATTTTGACCCAATGAAACTTCACAGTGGGCGGGGCTAGTTAGTGCAATGCAGCAGAAAGTAATCAACAAAATATTCTGTTGCATATTGTGGTCATGGCTGGACAAGACAGTGTAAAACACACAAAACATATTAGAAATAAATATTATGAATCAAAAATAAATGAAAACTCTTACAGCTCTCATGGTTCATGCCGTAATGCTCGGAGGTCCTAAAAGCACACATGGAAACAAATTACACTTCCATTTGTAAACTGTAGATCAAGATCATTTTAGCACGCAATGCTAACATGTTGTAGCAAGCCTGGTCATTTCTATGGCTACCTGCTGCCTGTACTGGTGACCTCTGGGTCTCTGAGTCCATTGCCGTTGAGTCTGTTAGATGCCGTTGTCATCTTCCCCAGCTCCATAATGCCACTGATGTTCAAATCCACACTCTCCACCGGGACGTAGCCGTCTGAAAAACAACACACACCACACTGCCAATCTGCATTCCAGCAGAAGCATCTGAAAAATGAGATAAACGCTTACATGCACCGTCTAACAGATAAGTCAGAGCTCAAGGACTTGCTTAGTGACAGATCTATTTAGGCATTTAGTCCTTATCAGGGTAAATTCGTAACAATGCTCATTTTCCGCACCTCATTTATCTGTAAAACTCATTTAGCGCGATGCTAATTATTTGCGACTTGTGCAAGAGCAAAGATAATGGCGCTAAATTAATTTGTGTGTGTGTAGATTGTGTATTTGTTGCATTGAGCTCACATTTGTTGTTGCTGTCCTTTGCCAGCCATTTTCCTTTAGGGCAGTTGTTGGTACGGATGATGCTCACGGTGTCTCCAACCTTCACCGGCAGGTCGTTTTTACTGCCTTTACAGTCCTCTAACACTTTAACATGATAAATGGGCTCTTCCTGGCCTGTGATCTGCATTAAACATCAATACACACACAGACAGTTACATTAACACGTGCTCATCACTTAACTGACCCTGCCATGTGGATTAAAAAAGAATTCTTGCTGTTAGCGAGAAATTGAAATGTACGGCTCACTTCACGTTTGATTATAATTATTGGGTTTTAGTGATGGTAAGTGCATCTTTTGATTTGCTTGAGGAGTGGGATGTGGATTGTAATACGTAATGGATTTTGACAGTTTAATAAGCAATAATTATGCAGAATTATTGGTGCAGACACACCAATACTGACTTGTAAAAAAATGCTAAAACAAATGAATTACCTTAAATTTTTTCCTCATTTCATTTTCTTTCTTTTCCTTTTCTTTCTGCTCCTTCTTTTCCCTCTCCTTCTCTTTCTCTTTTTCCTTTTCTCGCTGTTTCTCTTTTTTCTTTAGCTCTTTGTCATCTGCCACTTTTCCTGAGTTCTTCCTGTGGATTGAATGCTTTCATTATTACATCCAGATAAGTTGTTTTGGGAATGTAGACGTAGTTTAAAATAGTACTGTGAATTTAAAAATTACAAGTAAATTGCTGCTACAAACCTGGAGAACAAGCTTTTCTTGGGAGCCTCCTCCACCTAATAAGGTTGGGTGATTAAAGGCAACGTGTTTCAACAAATCATTTCAAAAACAGAACATGCAATAAGAAGACATGAAAAATAGGTGATAATGATACAAATGCTGCAGTCATAAGGTACTGACATTAACCTTAAGACTTTAAACAGTTATTCTAAAACAATTTTAACGGTAAAACTTACTGCATCTGGAGCATCAGCATATGGATCTAAGTTTCAAACAATAGGAAACATACGTCAGTGAGATAAAAGAGAATCTAAAATAAACGAATGACATGACTATTTCCTGCGTGTTTATCGTTTTTGTGGATCAGAAGGTCATCAGAGATGACATGACTGGGAACATAAATAACTACACACACAAAAAAAGTGTTTTTGTCCTGGTTTCCAGTTAAATATCTAAACATTCCTAAAATAAGAATTTACTTGACTAAAATTATGCAAGAATATAAGACTTGATTTCCGAGAATTTTACACCAAATGGCAAATTATTTTTCTTTTTTTAAGCATGAATCATATTGTAAATTGTATTCATTTATGTCAAAAATAATAGTTATATATGTCATATTTAAAAAAAAAAAAAGGCTTCATATCTTCCAAAATTTAGCTCCAAGGAAATTTGATCTTTAATGAATTAAAAATAGTTAATGATGATGATATATATATATATATATATATATATATATATATATATATATATATATATACACACACACATACACTACCGCTCAA